AGATGTAAATAAGTTATGTGTAATTATGTGAAACTACATAATTGCAATTAATTATGTAATTACGTAACTGCATCATTATGTGTAGCATGGCAAAACAACACTGATAACTGCAGACTTAAGGGCTAAAGTCAAGTATATTAACAGATATTGGCAATAAATTGGCCATTATTACATTTTCATCTACATATTGGACAGTTTTAATTATTGGCACCACACACCAGTTTGCACAAATGTTTTGGATTTTTGAAACAATCAGTGCTGTATTAATGATCAGGGGTAGAGCTGGGCTTTTCAGTATATGAGTGCGAGCCACAGAAACTTGATAAAGCCTACAGTAACTAATTAAGTACGATTGTAAATGTAATATTAATGTTACAGTATTTATTGTAGTTATGTTACATTAAACATCATGCAGTTACAGCTGTACAGCTGGTTGTGTGAAAGCAGCAACAAATGACCGTCTTAAGTATGTTAATGCATTCATTTACTTAAACCATCCATTCCCCACACGCTTCTATCTGTTCTACAACGCCATTTTTCAGCATTTCATCTTAGCAGATTTCTCAGTGTCCTTTGCCAGATTAGTATTTTCTAACTTGCTGTTGCAATAGGCTCCTAGCTAAACTGACGACTGGTCTGCACACTGCTCTCTTGCTCTGTGGATTTACAGCCACTTTAATAATGCTGTTAAAATTAGTATTTCATATTTGGGGTCACTGATATGTGGTCATCGTCCAGCCAAAAACTTTCATTCTGTCCACCAAGGCATTTCGGACGAAAAATGGTCAAAAATGACGCTTTCGATTTTCGGTCATAAGACAAAAAAGGCCTACAGTTTTAGCCACGAAAAAAAAAACTCAAAGAGATTTAATAGGGTAATAGTGAGTAGAACAGTTTAGAGTAGAACAGTTTTAAAGGAGTTTGTTGCCTTGAATGACCAGCAGTTCTGTTGTTGAGGAATGTCGTCGAGTTGCGTACGTACGGAGATATTTTTTTTTTGTCAGCTCAGTTTTGTCTTGTTGAAAGCTGATTGTATCAATAATAACAATGCATTTTCATTATTGCATTGTAGTTTTTGTTTAGTATGTTTATGCGAAAGTATAAATAAAAAAGCAAATTAAAAAATGAATTCTTATTTCCGTGCATCAGTTTTTGTAAAATGCAAGCTATTTCCCATTTTCTCGTTCTCAGTTTATGATTGTTCATCAGTCGCAATCTGATTGGTGGTTGAAAATACGCTGCATGACTGCAGAAATAGCTCATTTAGCCTACAGAGAGCAGTGGAATGACATACAAGATTTGTAATGTATTAGATTTCAACACTTTGTTGTAGTCCTATTTAATGTTTTGGATTTTTTGGGCAAAATTATAGGCCTTTTTTTCTCTTCTAACCAAAAACCAAAAGTGCCATATTTGACCATTTTCAGGTGGAATGTTTCAGTGGCCGAATTTGTTTTCAAAGGGCAGATCGATGGAAAATGGCCTGTTGTTGTTTATAACACATTTATTCAACATAAAATGATATGTTACTATTTTATAAATTAATAATGCTTTTCTCTAGAGGCTTGTCAGAATAGTTAGTCAACCCCTTAAAATCCCAGACTTATTACATACTAAGGCTTATTATTGAGTAACTACAAGGGTTTCAATGCAAATTAATTGAGCTATTCTTACGTTGTAGAAATGTGTAATGAAACTTTGGGCATATAAGGGGTTATGGGTGCACGGAACACACAACGCCTATTTAAAATATAAATAACAAGCTCTATTATAGGTATATATATATCTGTTTACCATTGTCACAGTCAGTTATTTGTATACTGTTGTATCTTTTTCAATTTCAAGCAAAACACACAAAACACTGTTGCATCAGCGTTTTTGCAAATGAACAATTGTGAATAGTCAAAAATAACTTTGACGCACGCTCCTGATCTTCATGGACATTTAGCAGCAGCCCTTGTGTTATATTATGTAATTCAGCTGTTCTTGTCTTCCATAAATCACTTATTGTATGTTTGCGTCAAACTCCACCTCCATCCCAGTGCTGCCCAATGCTTAACTAGACTCTCAGACATTAGCACCATTCCATTTAGAATTAACAGTGTACTGACATGTTACAAGTTCTATTCACTTACATAAGCGTTGTGAATTGAATGATTGTTTATCTTGCTTGTCTTTTGTTGGTGGGTTAAATAGAAAGTATGCGTCTGAAGTCTCTTTTGAGTCTTTTGAGTGTACTGTTCACAGCTGAGGGTGATGGAGTGTTCAGATGATGATTAATATTTGGGGAAAGAAGTGCGGATGTGTGATCAGACCCTTGCTTCCTCTTTGCTGACCACACCCTGCAAGTAATACGAGGAGCTTGTTGAGTTGCTCTCTCACACACACTCACACACACTCACACACACACACACACACACTCAGATTTTTGCCCATATGCTCCAGTGTACAGCAATGTGCGAAGGCTTTAACCCACCTGACTCACTAAATATATGTGTAAATATATATCTGAGCAGTAAGCTTTCATTTTCTCTTAAAGACACTAAGAATAAATCCCAAATAAATATTAAAACAATAAATTATGATTGTGTCAGTGTGTTAGCTTAACCATTTCCAGACCTCTCCTCAAGGAAGCCTAATATTTACAGTTACCGTCCAGTACCTGCTTCATCTAAACATTCTTTCATTAAATTAAAACAGTGTGCTGCTGAACAAATTTGTGACCTGAGCTGCATCAAAGAGAAGATAAACCAAATTGATGAAAAGAAAAAAATTCTTTATTGTTTTTATTAGAGCTGTCATGATCTTTGATTACAATCTTTGATTATATTTTACCTTCTCAATGAATCGGCAGCGAACAATTTGCATTATCGTAATGCGTATTTAAATTCTCCTCTATTACAGTATGAAGCAGCCTAGTGGACACATCCATTTATGTGCATTTTGTTTGCCACATTACGTTTTATATACATTTTTAAGTATACATATTAATATTTTATGAACATATAAAGAGAAAATACTGTGCAGAAGTTTTAGGCACCTGAACAAATTATGATTAAAAAGCTATTCAGCACTGAGCATTTATTTGCTAAGAAAAACACTAATATTAGAACAAATACAAATAGTATTAATACAATGAGTAGCCATTGTATGGCTGTCAGTGTGTTTCTTTAACCATTTTCAAACCTCTGCTTAAGGACACACAGTATTATTTGTGCAGATTATCCAGTATCTAGTTTGGCTAATCAAGCCTTCATTAGATTAAATCAGGTGTGCAGCTGATGGAATTTAACAATCTGTGCCGTGGCTGGGGGCATCAAGGAGAAAGCAAGAAACCAAATCTGTGTTCTTGTGGTCAGCTCACAAGATATCAGCTACTTTGTTGAAATGTTGTTAAAGAGAAATGTTACTTTTTACTGTATTTATATTTATTTGTGTTTATTATAATGGTATGTTACCAACAAAAACAAACATACATTTAGTGCTGAAATAAATGGATTATTGGGATAATTTGCTCAACCAAAATAATTTTTGCATTTAAATAATTTGCTTATTTAAAAAAAAAGGATTTAAATAATTTGCTTATTTATGGGTTGAAATAATTTGCTTTTACTGGCAAAAAACGCACTTAGTGCTGAAATGAATGGATTTAAGTAATTTGCTGTGGACTGTGTATATAGTCATATGCAAAAGTTGAAATACCCCCGATCATACTACATGTTTTGTTAATAACACATCCTCTACAGGGAACATAAATTATTATGCCTTAAGTTTTGCACTGGCCACATTTTATGTTTTTTTTTTTTCCAATATGGTAACGTCAGCAAACTGAAGTTAGCAATTGTGCATTGAAATGTGCAGAAGTGTGTTCTCTGTAGAGGATGTGTTAACTTATTTTCACTTAGAAAATCATACATTTGACCAGGGGTACCCAAGTATTACTAGTTTACTCTGATTACTCTGATTAAGTATCGAGTATGGTTTTGTTGTTCTTTTCAGTCTGTTTTTATTGTTGATTCTTTTTTAAAAACTTGATTAGAGTACTTGATTAAACATCAAAATAATGGGTGGATTACTTGATTACTAGTATAATAAATAGTGAGAGTCCTAGTATTCATGTTTACTTATGTGTTTTAATGTTAAATAGTTATTTCTCAAGCAGAACACATTTATCGGCCAGATAAATAGTTTTAAGTGATTTTCTCCTGTGTTCTAAGACTTCTTCTCAGTACTGTATACGCATGTACTCACACCCTTCCCCACGAAAGGAAAGTCCCGACGATACAGGATATGAACGCCCCTCTCGTCCATACGTTTGGCCCGGGACAGTCTCGCACAAGCAACAGGATCGCTCTCGCTGAACACTTTCCAGGGTCATCATGTCAGGCGGCGTGTATTAGCTCATGAATTGCTTGTGTGTATGTGTGTGTGAGAATACCCTGTAATATATTAGGCCTTCTAAGGGAGGAGGGGGACTAAATGGCAGCCACAGTACATTTTCATGTGAGCACAAAAAACCCAATGTACCTCAACTAATGGTTTTAATAAAACGTCCTCGCTAGCGGAATCCTCTAATGGAATGTAAGATCAAAGGCATTAGGTTACTGTGTCTCCAGAGAGGACTTTTCTTATTTCCTCTCTGCCGTCTCCTCCTGCACAGATTTGCACTGATAATTTGTCATAAATGATCACCTTTGAAAGGCCTGCAGCCCTTTGCGTAAAGGGAGGGAGAGAGTGTATATCCGTCCCATTTCAAGGTGCAGCTTGTTTCCGTGAATAACATGTTCACAATGAACGGGAACAGATGTATTCCTCACCATCAGATTGGGAAAGTCTTGTTTATCTGCATATTGGGATTGGGAAGGCTGTGTTTTTGAATGTGGGGTGTGGAGGAGTTAATAATAATGCTAAATTGTTTTGTAAATTTTTATGAAATGTAATCTGAACTACCTTGTTTTTTCACTCACACACTCTCTCTCTCCTATTTTATCATTTCTCAGGTAACGCTATGTACATGGGAAGTCAAGAAATGAGGCTGGTTCTAGAACGAGATAACTCAACCATCCGCCAGCACCTCAACAAGGTACCTGTTTAGCAGCATTTTAGCAACTACACAAAGCAGTGCAAAAAAATGAGCTCAACAGTACACTCAATGAAAGCTGTTGGTATTTTGCCATTTTCTTTTTGCAAAAGCTGCAAAAACAAAAGAGCAACTAAGAACAACTGACAAAAATGCTACTTAAACTAGCACTACCCTAACATATTCCTACGCATATTATTGTGCAGTCAGCTCTCAAATCTTTAACGATTGGAAAAGAAAACTTCATTATTTATTCAATATCTACTCTTACTGTGAAAGACTTTCGTACTGTTTACACCTGGGCTATGACTGAAATGTATCCTTATTTGGATTTTAGGGTGCCATCATGTGTGTGCAGTCCATACATCACTGCATGAGATCAATGTATACCAGTGTGCATTGCAAGTCTGTTGTTACTGCGCAATGGACAAAGGAATGTTAGCTAAAAGATGATTAGCTTGTAAACAAGCCTTATCAGACTCTCTTAATTCTCTGGTGCAGTAGCTCTGTACGGTTAAAAACAAAGATGTTAACTGGTTTACTTGGTAACCAAGCGTCACAAGACAAACAGCACTGTCTGATTATGATCTGCTTAGTCTTACAGGGCCAAATGCAGTCTTGTTATGAGAATTCATGTCTGCTGACAACTTGCTAAACTTTTGGTGCTGAATTGCGCAACTAACAAGGGATCGTGCCCCTCTAAAATCCACCCACAAATTCCTCTAGTCTGTGCCCTTTGAAGCTCATTTGGAGTGCTATCAATAACGCAAGCAGTACAAGCTAGCTAGTGAAACACTATCGTTCGCTAACGGAACGGTTTTTCCCTTCTAAGACGTTTTCCGGATACACAACAAACATCTACATGCTTGAAGACGCAGAGAACCTAAATCTGTGTATTCTTTCTAATTAGGTTAATCTTGTTCATGCAGGCAGTTAAACATGTACTAAGTATACCCATATATTTAACCATATTTCTCTCCTCATAATGTAAACTGGGTGGTCCTAATTTAGGGTAATGCCTTCATGAGCATTCCCCTTACCAATCACAAGGCTGAGGTCTCTTGCCCCGCCCGCACAAAACAATTTCCGAGAGCTAATCCAGCATAACCAAAAAGCAAGCTAGACCAACTGTCTGTAGCTGCCTGTTGCTCGTTAATTCATTTATCCACACACCAACATTGTTAGTTTGTCTGTTCCTTCTTTCATGCATTGCTTCATCTGTCCATCCGTCTGCACGTCTGTTTGTCCGTTCCTTTATGCATTGCTTCATCCATCTGTTTGTTTGTTTGTCCGTCTGTCCGTCTGCACGTCTGTTCTGGCTGTTTGTCTGTCAGCGTGTCTTTCCGTCCCTGACTTTTTTTCATCCAAGGCTTACCATAACATAAAAGGTGGATGATGATTTTAGTTCTGTAGGAGGGCTGGAGCAGGCTAGGAGTGTTGGACTGATCAGATAGCTCAGATGTTTTTAATCCGTGTTTTATCATGTTTATATCTTTCATTTTCGTTTGAGCTTTGCTGGATGTTTAATATAACACTCATGGTTAATTTCACACATTTTGTTCCCTGGGACTTTAATTGACTTTTCAGCTATGCTATCTTAGGCTACGGCAATGGGCTAATGACCCCAGGACTGGCTTGTTGTCCATCATAAAATGTTGACAAGCACACCATCGCCCCCTACTTTGAGCTCTTCCTATGCGACTTTGGGTTTGTTTAGAAATTTCACATTCAGTTTTTCTCACCCTTATAAGTCTACATTCTCACCCACATTTAGCCCAAAATTTGTCATGGTTGTACCCAGAAGTGCTCGTTGCAAGATCACATCTGGCGTCCTCGAGACTACGCACTGCTTTGCTGAAAAGACGTAGCCTAAAGACAACACCGGATAGTCACAGCAGAGGTACGCTTCTGCCCTGGACAGTCCTCAGACTTTTGAGGGCAGTGTGCATTGCAGTGCCACAGTGCTAGATTAGATCAGTGGAGATGGAAATCTTCACTATTTCATACTTTACCAAATGCATAGAAGACCTCAGTTAATCTTAAAGAACGCAGCATTCACTGAAGATGCTGGCAGCAGGTTTTTTGCTGAGAGCAGCTCAAAGGATACAAAACCAGAGCAGAAACCCAGCGTGCAGAGCCCTACACTCTCGGGGGGGGCATGAAAAAAAACACAGCATGTCTGTGTGTGTGTGTGTGTGTGTGTGTGTTCAGTGCATTGCTCTGACGCTAACCAGAGGCCGCATGCATGCGGAGTGGCGGGATGTGGCTGGCTGGGATGTCGATGACTGGTGGACTTTATCTGTCATCAGTTAAAAAGGTGATATCATCGCCGCGCTCACTCTGCTTCTCATATGCATCACATACCTTAACCTCAAGTGTCATGAGACATACAGCACCATCCGGCTCCGCTTTGCTGGAAAGACGCAGCCTAAAGACAACACCGGATAGTCACAGCAGAGACACACTTAAAGTGATAGCTGGGTGAAAAAAGTTAACATAATTTTGACCTTAGCCCAAATGTACTCAACTAGCCAAGACGTTTGGTGCGCAGAGTTGGTATTTTTCAGTTTTGCTCTGGGGCTATGAGGCAAAAGTGGAAAACAAATAATGGAAGCTTATATCCTACCAGTTGGCACCATGAAAACTGCACGACTATGTGCAAATGCAGTGGTGTTTAACGTGTAATGTGAACGTGTATGCTAGGGGGCAGTGTCCAAACCGTAGTGTACAGAAAACAAAGAGGAAAGTCGTGTATTTCTCCTCTCGCTCTGATAATTAATAGTATTTTGAAGATGCAAAAATCTTTAAAATGTGTATATTTGTAACATTGCACCTTTTCTGCCAGCCAGTGTTCGACCATCTCTATTTGATTTTGTGCCAGTTTCGGTTTGGGCTCTGTATTGTTTAGGTCTCGTCCCACCCCGAACACGACCAGATAGCCAGTCAGTGCAGTGCAGAATCACACAATGCATAATTAAGATTTTGGTGGTGTGCCCATTGACACGTCAGCCTCAAATAGTCACACTTGCCTCAAACCATTCTGAATTGAGTAATCTTAATTAGACTTGCTTATGTGGTTTCTGACGCTGTGTGACATTCTGTTGTCTATAAAGGTAAAAATAAAACAAAAGTAGGAACCAACTTGCATGCTGAATTTTGTTCATACTTTCGTTCTTGTTTATTATTATTTCTTCAAGGAAACACTTACCGGCTTAAGCAGAGTTCAAAGTGTTTTCAGTGAAAGTTGGAACATTGCGTCTTGCCCAAGGTTTGTCAGACATTGCATGACAAAGGCAACTATCTCCTTTGTTCTGTAGCTCCAGCTCTGTGTGCGTGCGTCCCTGTTTTGCTTTCATGTGCTTTGTTGTAGTCTGGGTGGTTGAAACTACCAAAGGCTCGCTTGCCAGTAACCTCGCCAGAGTAATTCTTTTTAAAAGAACTGGAGGTGAAGACAGGAGGTCGTATGTTTGAAACCCCTTTTCAGTCTTTAACTACATGCATCTGACTCCTTTATTAGATTTACAGGCTGTGGGGAAATCGATCAGGCAGACACATGTAGAAGCTATCATGATTAACTGGTACGGTCAGCAAAGGCCAAACATTATACAATTCATCAGCAGAATCATGTGAAGCAGTTGACAAGTAAATGTGATCTTTCTATTGTGTACAGCAATAGACAGCTTTACGATAAATAGCCTTCAGCAGTCAGTAGGGGAGGTTTTTCCTTTTCTCCTAAACGCTATAGGCACTGTGTGGCCGCCTAACTGTGGGAAATGCTCATCATCTGTCCATAAGGGCCTTCAAGGGGAGATGGACAGCATCACATTTTTATTGTCAGTCTTTCCTGTATTTCATAATAACTTAATAAATAGTGATTGTTTTGCACTTGCAGTTTCCAAAAAGAGCTCAGTCTGGATTTGGTGTGTTTTTGTGTGTGGGTTTTACCGCCACTGAGGCCGCCTGCGGTCTGCTTTTTTTTTTGTTTATGGCATGTTGGGTTTTGATGATAATACAATATGTCTCATCAGCTCAGTTCAATCAGCTCATACCCCACCAAGGGCCTTTATTAACAGTGGCGCAAAAAAAAAAAAAACAGCCACACTGTAAAAGATGCTGGGATGGTTTGGGATTCTGCCCAGGGAAATGAAGACGCCCGCAGTTATTTACTTCCATTGGGGTTTTGGCATTGTAAAACTGCATCTTAGGTAGCTTAGGTTTGACAGTTGAGTTAATGTGCTATGACTGTCTCTCTACTAAGTTTGGATGTACAGTCTGAAATGCACAGTTTGGTGTTACCTTGTTTTGAGAGAACCGGATGCATCACTATGTTAACCTCTTAAACCAGAAAGTCTCATGTAGCCCATACTTCAGTGTCCCACTTTCATAACTACCTATACAGCTTGAATATTAGTTTGTAATTACTGAATAGTTCATAGCAAGTACCAAACATTAAGTCTTAATAAGATTAATAACTGAATAATAAACCTATATTTCAAGGGGTTAAAGGAGGGTAGAATATGAAATTGTTCAGTGCTGCAGCCTTCCCTTGAATGAACTAAAATGCTTTTCAAATGCATTTAACTATTTAAGATTTTTGACAGAACATGAAAATAAATAGTGTTTCAGCCCAGTGTCTGTATTTCATGATGTATCTAGTTGTTAGTAGAAATTGGAGGTTTTGTTGACAAACAAAAATATAAACTATTTAAAAGGTAAATTAATTTCACTGACCATTGTTTCTTGTACCTAGACTGTTGTTCTAGCCAGTCTGTGTGTAGCAATTAACCCTGTTTCTTTTTAACAAACCAGGTAGTAAGGCTTCCAGGTAAGAGTGTACTTTTAAAAGAATTTTTCAGACATTAACTGGCTCTGCATAAACACAGTGAGTACTTTAAAAAAATGTTATTTTGAGGTGGGAATGATTGGACATCAAGACATACTTCTATAAATTTCTTTACAAGAAGGTGTTTATTTTGCTAAAACTTGGTATACGTTCAGCTACAGGTTCTAAATCCATATTTTCACAGTTCTGAAAACCTCAACATTTTTTTACTTAGATTTTTTTCATTTATTTGTTTATTTATCTAAAAATGTCAGCTGTATATTTTGTAAACATTACATGATGAATGTACCAATAAAAATTGTTCAAAATTAGATTAAAGATGAAAAATCTTGTTATATGAACTTGCATCAAAAGTGAAGAATGTTTTTTTCCTTGTCTTTTAAAGTTATGATTATGGAGATACAAGGATGACAACAACAGTAACACTGTAGCTATAAAAGTAGCTCTAGTTTCTCCCACAGCTATGGCTTATAAAGGAGTTAAGGTTTAGAAATCTTGCATATAAAGTTTGTGAGCTAAAATACTGTTTTTTTTTGTTTGTTTGTTTGTTTGTTTGTTTTTACTTCCTTCATCAGCTTATTTTTTACTACGGCGCTACAGACAACTGGTGTCCTGTGCAGTATTACTATGATATGCGAAGAGACTTTCCAGAAGGAGACATTCGTCTGTGTGAGAGAGGCCTCCGCCATGCTTTTGTCATGGATGCAGGGGAAGAGATGGCCAACATGACCACAGAGTGGATCCGTGATGACCTCAGGGGACTAAAGCACTAAAAGTGCCAACATTAGGGATTACACTGACCTACACCGGCTCTGTGTTCCAGTTTACAGGAACCTTTACCCTTATTAAGAGCTTTATAAAGGCCTTTATGTGGGTACTGTAATCTATTTGTTGGAACACTTGAAAACATTTTATTTTGATACATGACAAGTAATCAACAGCCACTTATTCTGTTATTTTATGCCATTACAGTACCGTAAGCCGGGCCTTTGAGTTGGCAGAGGAATGCAATTATGACCAAAAGCCAGACCGTTGTTGGACGTATTTATGTAAAAGCCACAATCAGGGATTTATAAAGCCATTTCAGTTTGCATCAAATGCATCATAAATTCCTACTGATTCTCAGAACAAAAACTACCAAATACAGCTGCTCTTTCTTCCAAACATCAGAGCTAAGGACCCTGTTGTTTTTTACTTATACAAGAATAATTGAAGAGTTTATAGTTTTTAAATGTGGCTCTTATGTCACTGCATGATTTTTTGCATAGCTTTCTGGTGAAGTTTAGCATGGAAGCAAGCTCTTTAAACTCTTTCAAACAATTTCAGTGGCTGGGCTGTCACTTCACTGTTATACAATCGCTAATTTTGTCTTTAAAGTGGAATTCCACATATTAAAAAAAAAAAATCTGCTGTTTTAGGCCAAACCACTTATCTCAAAACTATCATAAAAATTCAGGTGGTGTATTTATATTTCATATTGCTGTTGTCGGTACAAAATCTTGTATCTACTTTACTTTTAGTCAATGGAGGAAGACTTTTTTCAAAGTGATTTTGGGCCTTTCCTTTTTTGTCCATTCATCATGAAATTTACACACAATGTAAAGGGTAACAGGCATTGTCAAATTATGTCAAAAACTAAAAAACAACAAAAATAGAGATACAAGGGTATCTTTCGACAGCAGCGATATAAAAACATTCTGTGATGTAGCTTTTAGGTGCATTCACGGCTTCTGTTTAGATGTAGCACAGATAGATAAAACACGGATAGACTTCTGATTCGTGACACCACTGTGAACAATTCTGATTCAGTAAGTTTCTCTAATTGCAGCATTTTACATCAAACCGCTCTGAATGACTTTGTTTTTATCTTAAATATTTAATTATGCTGATTTTTTTTTTTTAATCAATGGAATTCCCCTTTAAGAAATTAAATAGCAACCAGGCAGCCATGTTTTTGCACATTTCTGATGTTTCAAGACCAAACTTTCACTCAACTACAGATCTGATCAATGGTTAGAAGAAGGGCCTAAAAAATTTTCCTAGTCAATAATGACCATTACAATAAACCATAGAATAGCATTTGGCTGCATGGATTTATGAATGTGTGTGCATTAATGTAGATGTTGTTATTAATGTGTAATTTATAATAATGAAATCAGTATTCAAATATATGAAATGTATTTACATTTGTTGTGAATAATATTAAAGTACTGCTAAGACATTCTCAGGAAAAGGTTGGTATCGCCTGTCCAAAAAAAAAGCAACATGAAAATTCTTGTAAATATAAATTTATATTCCAAAATTGTCCCAATTGTGACTTTTTATTTTAGTGACCACTTCAAGTTTTGGAATCTCATATGTTTTCAATTGCATATGAAAACTTAAACCCTAAAAGCATCTTAAACAGGTTTTGATTTGTTCTCTGTCTGAAATGGCATTTTGTCGTAACGGCAAGAAACCAGAATAAATGTATCCTGGCAGAAGTCAAATATGGCGGGCCCTGTGACAGCGGCAACGACCTGGTGCCTTTAGGAACCGCAGAATTATGAATTTTCATAGCTTCTGGGCATGCTTCAAGTTCACTGAATGCACATTCTGTGTGTTTGCAGCAGTCAGCGTATGAATGGCCCTCAACATCAGGCCTGTCACTCTGAATTGATTGGGTTTATTTCCCAGACAGCATACAGAGACTCTGGAATAGTGTTTTACCTGAAAAGCTGCTATTCTCTTAGACGGAGAATCATGTGGATTTTGTGGGCCCCCACTTGGCTGCGGAACCATCCCAAGAGATTCTTTTACGGTGAATAGAGGAGCCAAAGAGGGCCCTGTTGTAAGGAAAACCTTCCAGAAGGTTCAGAGTCCTCTCTCATGGCTTTTACTGGTTAATCATGCAAGGATCATCCAAGTTTCACTCAAGAACCCACAACAGATGCCCACAACAGTAGATAATTCGACAAAGCAGTCAATCTTAACAAACATCACAGATCTCAATGTTTTGCCCAATGGTATAATTCCTGACAGTATGAGTAAGGAATGTCCTTTGGTTTTCAGCACTGTCAACTGCTAAACTGAAGCTTACAATGAGCCAGGGTTCTGAAACTAAGAACAAATCCTCATCAAGCACTGCTTTATGTCTTTTTTTCTACATCCAGTGTAACCTTTAGTGGTTCATTTATTCACAACTCATCCTCAGTTCCAGGATTTCCCAAAGCCTGCACACTAGCGATCAATATCTCATGTTGTTGAAAAGCTGAACAAATGTCGAGTAAAACATCTCCAGCTGATCTGCTCCTCCGGACGTCTCGGAGGAAAGACTTGCCATGTAAACCAAGGCCTCTTTAATCTCCCTCTTCTGCTTCTTCAGAAAAGAATGACAAAGCCCCTTAATTTGCTTATCCTTGATTTAAACCAGGAGGCAGGGCTAGTTCATCGAAGGAAATGGAGTAATCCCGCCCGGGTGGGTTGAATTGTGGCAAAGCAAACAAGCTTTACTGTTTTGTGTTTCCAAAGAGATTTGAGTTGTTGTTTTTTTGGTTTTTTTTTTTTGGTTTTGTTTTTTTGGAGAATCGTTCCAGATATATACAGGATTTCTCCTGACAAATATCATCTGCAACGGATCATATTTCTTCCACTGTTCTTCGTTACGTTTTGTTTTGACATTGTAATAGTTACTCTTTGTTCACCCTCCCCTTTCAGTTTTTGCACCAATGTTGCATTGTCTGATATGCCCTGATCTGGAGGAGACCACTGTGGAATAATAGAGTCTCTTTCTGAGAATTTATGGGCCTCCTCATGTCGTTCTGAGGTCTGTGTTCTGGTAATATCTTCATATTTGTCCGTTCTTGTCTTTGCAGAAATTTGCATTACATCAAGCAACAGCAGGTTTGAACAGAGATGGAGTCAGTTCACACGTTTTCGTTGAATTCTGCTTCACACTAAAAACAAGGTATATCAAAACATAATATAATATAATATAAATACATTAGAATCCCATTATTTTTTGTTCAATATAAGTGTTTCGGAAATAACAAGAATTTATTAAATGCCAATCTGTATAAATTCTGATGATAGTAAATTCTCGTCGTTATCTGCCTCAAGATTTGATTACCACTTTTGAAATATTCCCAGTGTTTTGCAGCTTTCTCAGCTATTGTGGAAGGTTTTTACAAATTATTGAAAACCTATGTTGGAGTACTGGCATTACATTAAAATAACTGTACACCATTATCTGCAGTCAAATTGATTCCGTAGTAGTGAAAGCAGTTCTTCTAATTTGCTGGGATCTGAGCTCAGACCCGGTGATAAAACAGAACTTTTATGGCCAGTTGCACAACTTGAGAACCCGCTGCTAGTTTAATGATTGAAATCAGATTTTTGTTGTTTACTGTATTGATTTAACTAGACAAAATCTCCTTTCTCTTCTTACGTTCTTACACACTTTTTAAGGCATGACCTTTAGAACATCTGACGGTATCTTGTGGTGTAATGAATTAGCTAATCAATCCAAAAGAAAACCTTTTTTTGTAGCATCATTAAACCTTTTTGTACTAAACTGCTTAAGAAGTGATCAGTTATAAACAAAGGACTCTTGCCATGTAGGAGCTAACTTTACAGGTTATACTCTCTAATGTAAACTATACACACTACAATTGCTACTGCCTCATTTAAATATTTATCATATTTTTGTGGTCAGTGAGGAGGAAACTGACCATACAAATAAGCTGAAATATTGCCGTACATCTGGACTCTATAAAAAGTTAATGATCAAATATCAAGCATTTTGTTACAGTAAACAGATCAAAAATGGATTTAAAAGGCAGTGCAAACTTTTTAAGCAAGTCGTCTCTTTTACTACTTCCTAAACACTAAACACTCGCAATAAAAATGACTTATAGCGTACGGCTTTACTCGCTCTTGCATCACAGCCCTCTGTGGACGCGCACTTCATGCAGGGAAATGAAGTCAACAATTTATAAAGACTTCCAAAGGGACGCCACACATACATACACACCCACATAGACACAGAGTTCTGCTCATATTTACTCTTAAAAATAAAGGTTCCTTAATGGCTCTTGGCTTGGATGTACAGTTTGAGGAAAACATCTTGAATCGCTATAGCATTTATAAGGTTCTTTGCACTTTTTAAAAGGTTCTTCCTCTCATTGACAAAAATGGTTCTTTAAGGAACTTTAGGGAAAAGAGAACCGAAAGTGCTTGTTCTATGGCACCGCTCCAAAGAAGCCTTTTGGGCCCCTTCATTTTTAAGAGTGTAGAGCTTTTCATGGAGCTGATGGATTATGGAGCCTATAATGCAGTACGACTTCTTTGCCAGTGCTGGACATTACCCTCCCCTCCCTCTTCTAGCTGGAATTCAGAATCACCTGGAAACTTCCTGAATACTTGCTGGCGAAAAAACGAGACAAAACACAAACCCAATAATGATTCCGGAACCGTGGGTTGAGACAGACAGTCACTAAGGGTTCACTTTCATATGGATGTCTGGGAAAACAGATTAGCCGCAGGAGCCCGTTTTTTTTTTTTTTTTTTAATCAATAAACTTCTTTTTCTTTAATAAAATCATCTGTACAAAAAATGACAAGGTGATGAAAAGGGGTGAAATAAAAAAAACAAATGAGGATACAATGTGTGCTTAATTTTGGCTTTGAAATTTATATAGATATACATTTTTACATATACTACTAAATAATATTTCCAAAAGAGAAAAAAATACATAGCAGTTTAAAGATAATTTACAATTGAATTATGTACACTCTTTATATCTTACACACACACACACACACACACACACATATATATATGCACATAGTGCAATGTCAATGTTCGAACATGATTCCTGTATTTAAGACAACCGCTGTCAAGGACATTTAGTAGATTTCTGTTTGGTTTTTGTATGATGGCTTCATTTTCACCATACATTTTACAAAAAAAAATAAAAAATCTCAAAAAGGCAGGCACTTGAGATAAAGGTCATGCATGCAAATTAAGGCCAGCACCTTTTTGTTACCTTCCTTATAAAAACAAATTAAAAATAATCATCTATATTTATAGAGCACTTTTCATACCAGTGAAATTGTTGCTAATAATACCAAAACCTCATGATTTTTCTGTCTACATTTTTCTACATGTTTGAAAACGCCAGGTGCCCTTTATGTTTTTGTGTAAACACTTCATGACTAATGAACCAATAAGAATGGCACAAAATTACTTGGAATGAAATCTTCTGCATGACTGTGCATTGAAAGTTAACATTTTTAGTTGCAATAGTAATGTTAACTTTAATCTTTGTTCCTTGCTTTAGCAGCGTCCATCTCATCTTTGAAACATAATCCATAATAAATGGGATACAATAAATTAAAACAGATGTTGTTAGATCATTATGAGGATCATTATGAGGTGGTGGTAATTTTTGCATGTACAGAAAAGATGCTGAAACGTGGCGGTTCTGCAGGGTTGAAAGCACTTGGCCTGATAATTCAAAGCACGTACTGTTCTAGAAGTCTCCAAAAGGTTCTTAAGTAAAGCACCAGGACACAAAAAAAGAACAGTCAGCTCTTAAGAGCCAATAAACTCCTAAGCACAGCAACAGTCATAAAGACCACTTAAAGGCTACAGCTTATTCCAGGCTTCTGGGCTAAAAGGCTGAGTTCCACAAATGAAGATGCTACTTGTAACAGAAATTTTATTATGGTCTGGGTTGTTAATGCAGCCTCTGTGAGTCCAGTTAGAAGTAATTGCCACTGCGAGTATGCTACAGGAAAGTACGATGACCACCAAAAGTTTGGGGACACCTAGCTTTTAAATTTTTTTTTTTCCTTTCTCCATGCAGATGAGCTTTTAATTTGTAACAACATATTAAAGACTAACCAGGTTTATTCTGAGGAAAACAATGTCAGAAAAGGGATATCAATATTACTAGTATTTGAATAATCAACCAATTATTCCATGTACAGCACAGATTATTAAAAACTGGAGCCTTTTTTATCTCAGGCTTCATTAAAAATACCTTAAAACATTAGGTGGTAAAAAGTGTTCATCAGGCTGTTTCATGTCATAAGAGAGACCGGTTGGTCTGTGCATTTTGCCAACTAATTATTGCTTATTCAATGAAAATGTAAATTTTATTCTAGGGTTTTGCAAATTGAGTTTAATTAAATAATGGTGATAGCCATATCATATGTGTACAGTACTGTGCAAAACGCAAAGACCATCTTTTAATTTATATAATTTCCAGTTCCAAAATGGCCAGTACAGGTAATTCATTTTTGAGTATTTTTGAATATATCTAAATATTTCAATAATTAAATATATTTTTTCAGTATTTAGTGTGTTCACTCTTTGCCTGTATTAGAGTTTCCATTCTTTTCAGGAGACTTGCTTTCAGTTTTTACAAAGAAATCTGCAAGGATATTTTTCTACACCTCCAAAGTTCAGTCTTAGGAGTTGGTTGCACTTCCTGCTTCTCATGACCCCAGTAATCTCACGCATTCAGTGATGTTGAGGTCTGGACTTTGGAGTGGTCTGTCTGTTGTCCTGAGAACACCAGCAGCTTCTTTGTTTGTTTTGCAGATTTTCTTATCTCCCATTTTCTCTTAAACTTCAGTTTTAGAAACTCCTGTTTTTTCCTTTGACTTCCCTCTTCCTTATGCAAGTAGATTATTATTTATCTAATCTTCTCAGAAATATCTCCTGAAAATGAAGAATTTGCATTGAACAGCTGTTTTGAAATTCTTTGACTTTTGCACAGGACTGTATGTTTTTTGCTACCTAAGAAATAATATCCCATAATAAATATCATATAATATCATAATGTCATACCCCACACATTTTCTCACCTGGCTGTAGTCAGCACTGATCAGCACTCATTCCAGGTGTTCAAACCATCTTTGATCCACACAAGTTTCAATATGTGCAAACAATAGTTTGGAAACAACAACTGGTAAATCGTTATTAATGCAAAGCTTACTCTTAATATCAAGAGGAACACTTGATAAAAGCAAAATATGCTCAGAGTATTAGTATAAAACTGTTTTATTTAAAAAAAAATCCTTTGTAGGCATTTTTTCATACTTTTACAAATTCACACTGCTAAAGCTTTGACATGTATAGGGGTACAGCTGACCTTGAGTGGAACAGCTGATTAGTACTAAGGTTTAGAAAAATGATAAAGAGTCCGTCTTTTCTTATCCTGAGCATATCTTATCTTTCTAGATATAAGAGGGGGCAAGGCTCAAGGCGACGTCTCAGTACCTTCAGCCCATGGTTATAAAAAAAAGTCTCTTAAGCTGATGTTTGATGCCTATGTAAGCTTTATAGATAGGACTGTAACTCTTAGAATCATTGTGCTGGCTAAAATGCCTCTGGGGCAAAATCTCCATGCTTGGATTGCAGTTTTATTATGTTCAATAAACAGTGAACAGCGGTTAAACCTAGGCCACAGTATTATCCAGCTCTTTTCATGCCATTACCCTTAACAACACTGACAAACTGTAACAAACAATATTTTTTCAGACAAAAAGAATTTTCATCTGAGCGTCATTACCGAAATAAATGGAAAAGGCATGAGCGAGTCCTCAAACTGTACGGAGAAGGCCCGAACTCATGGTCATCATACGATGTGCCCACTGCCCGTTTGTTCTGGAATGCTAATTCTAGTTTATAATGCCACCATGGGCAATATGAGCCACTTTTGTTGGAATTCACAGAGAACCAATTCAGAACCGAAGCAGAGTAGTGAAGGGAAAATATATATATATATATATATATATATATATATATATATATATATAAAGCCATCTCTGGTATTGATTACAAATCTGCTTTGTATTTCCTTATAGAGGCAAAAAGTCAAGGATGTTGAACAAACAGTAAGTAGTAAAACATTCCTGCCTCCGACACATAGATAACATGAACATCTAAACAGAGAAGACTGCAGTATTCAGAGCCACCGCACACTGAAATGAGATCCACTAGTCACCCTTCATCTATAAATTCCAGTATGCTTAAAAAAAAAGCTGTGTGCAGATTTCAGTGATGCTGTTTTTTTTAGAAGTTGATACATCACCAAAAATCAGAATTCCCTTAACCCAAATGGGGTTGATCAGCTAAGACATTTGAATAGTTTTGCACTGGAGCTCAGAGGCTAACAAGTAATGGAAGCTTACAGCCCACCAGTTAGCATTGTTCAAGCTTAATGCCTAAATCATCACATGCCTACCTCAAACCATGTTGAGCAAAATCAGACAGACTTACTTATGTGGTTTCTTACACTGCATGACATACAGTTATCGACTAATTAGCATCTTGCAAACTGCAAGCAAAAACCATCACACTAGGCACTTGCCTCAAACTGTGTGACTGTCCATTTTTACACATAACAGTATGTTGTACAGTATCAGAAACTACATAATAAAGTCTACCTGAGAACGAATCAACATGGTTTAAGATGAGTAGAGGATCTTTTAGTCATGCAGTATAATTAGCGCTTGTAAGTTTCTATGAGATTAGCTTTATAGCTCCAGTCAGGCCAAGCACCAAATGGTCATTTAGTGGGGCAATGCCCCACCAACCAATTAAATCCATATGCTTGAGGCAAAAAAAGCATATAGAACGGAAATTAAACTTCGTACGCTGCACTGTTTACCTTGCACACCTGTTATAAAAGGCTCGATTAACATTGAAGGCATGCGTCACTTTGTACTGGCTGCATTTTAGGGATGTGCTGTATGTTGTGAGAAGATAAATTAACAGATTTCCTTGATTCTCACCTAAAGATCGCGAGGACCATTGCCATACAGATCTATCGTGGATTTTTTTTTTCTTTTGTGTAGATGCACTACCCCTGCACCCACATAGTTTTCAATGCCCCACTCAGTTTAGTTCTGGCGCTGAGCCTGACTCCAGTGCAAAACTAAAGAAGAAAACTTGTATAAGGCATCCAAACCCAGTTTAAATAGGTTCGCTCACCTTGATTCTACTTATTTGCTTTTTTTGTTTGTGTGTGGGTTCCAGCTCCGTGTCATCATCGTATACCTCTTAACAGGTATACAATGTGTGGAATGAGTTTGAGGGAGTATTTATTCTAATTTGAGATGTGGTGTAATGGTAAAAAAGGGTTTCTGCAGATAAAAAGGGGAAAGCAAACAGACCTCCACATACAGTTAGCCCTGGCGTGAGGGGTGTCACACAGAAAAGCTCCAGAATGCCAAGAATCATTTTGATTTTGGCTCTCTAACCTCTTTCACAGAGTAAGGTCTGAGGTCATAGAGTACAGTGAAGCCATCTATCTCTTACACATTTGGACATCATGCATAACACAGCCATTCAGTCGTCTTGCAGACGCCAAATGTGGTGTCAACAATGCTTATTTCGCTGCAGCGGGCCTAGTTTCCCACTTTCACAAACCTTGAGACTTACAACTGGCCTAACGTTGGCGGTCTTATGAATGAGATGTGAAACGACTAGCTTGTGCAGCTATGTGAAGTTCGTAACAACGTATGGTTTGTGAGTTTCCTATCGTGGGCCAGTCAAACACTGTCCCCTACGCTGAGAAAAGGAAGTGAGACATCCCCTCTGGGGAGCATCAGATGTGTGTGGGTTATCTTGATATAAAATTCAGAAACTGCCATACTCAATAAATCATCAAACGAGCCTCTTGATTATAAAAACAACTCAAGCTCCACATGGAAAAGCACACTGTGTAAGACAAGCTTCAGAAAGAGTCAAAACTGCCAGCTTTCAGTCAACCATTGCCACCTCTGATTAAGGCCGCTGGCTTTGTCTCTCTCTTTCTCACATATTTTTCAAAGCTGCTACCAAATTCTTACATTTTCCTCCCATCTTAAACTTGAGCCCACTGTCACGCAAAGTGCTTAGTCTCTCGCTGACAGACGTCTGAGCTGAAAATGGTTTGACTCTTTCGCAGGCCACTGCAAGAACACTTCAACGCTCTATCGTTCCGTTTACATTATCAGGATGCTGTGTCATTTCTGGAATTCTTGGCCTTTACTCCTTTTCCGATCAAGATGTTTACTCAGTATTGAGGAATTTAAGTCTCTTGTGAAGATTTTACCCATTAGTCCTCTGCCCACTGCTCAATTACTGTTCAAATGCCCTTCAGTATGCCCTTTTACTACACTCCTCCATTCTCACAAACACACACACACACACACACACACTTACCCACGGAAGACCTCTGTTAATAGTTCAGGCACTTCAGGCTACGTTCACATTACGAGCTATATTGCACAGCTTTGCTTTGATTTGACCGTTCTCAATACAGTCACAAGGTCATGTATTGGATATGTAGGACCACATATGAAAGTGGTTCAAATCTGATTTGAAAAGATCTGATTTGCATGTTCACACTGAACTGGGAACATGAGATCTATCTCACATTTAGGCAGATAGACAGCTTTGTGCTACTTGTGCCCTGTAATGTGAATGTAGCAGCCCTATTTGAAGTGGATTAGTTTAACCTGGGAAGGTACTATAATTTACGAAGTGCTTACGAACAAGATATATGATTTTAACCCTGTATTCATTTTGAATGGCCATAGTCTAGAGTTACTTCTATAATTTGAATGGCCATAGTCCAGAGTTGACTTCTGTAATTTGCTGAACCGGGAGCTCCTTCAGTAACAGTATTCCTTTTCTAAATAATCTCATGGTAAGGTAATAACAAACCATGCTAACAGACACAGCCTATGCATTAGTTACTGTTATTGTTAGCCATTACTTATTATTGTTAGCAATAGTGTTAAATACGTAACTCATATCTGAATGATGACCTTTCATTCCTTGCTATGGTAATTTGGGGAAATTGTGCAGATACTCAAATAAGTTCAAATCCTTTTACAAAAACACATCATATAACCTCCCGTGACAAAACTAATCCAGGTCGAATAGTGCTTTTGACTCCTTTCTTTGAGCCTGGCAGTGCTTGCGTTAGGCCTCAGGAGAGGCTGCTTTGGGTTCTGAGTCCTAAGGGGCCGCAAAGTCCAGCCCCGTTCTCACGCTGCTACCTGCAACCACACTGCTCCACCACCATGTCCTCATACTGCTTGTAAACCACATTGTTGCCGGAGTCTATATAGAGGATGCTGATGGGGCTGAGTTTGGAGGGTACGCAACAACTCGGTGGCGTCGACTCTGGGTCCATAGAGTTCATGAGGGTCTGGATGATGGCATGGTTGGTGGGCTCGAGGTGTGAGCGCAGGGGAAAGTCACAGGCACCCTCGCAGTGGTATGCCTCGTAGTCCAGTGGTGCAATGATCCAGTCATCCCAGCCCAGCTCCTTGAAGTTGACGTGCAGCGGCTTTCGGCTACACCGGGTCCTCCTCCTGCCACCTCCACCTCCTCCCCCTCCTTTTGTCCCACCCCCTGCCCCGCCTCCACCTCCTCCAGCCCCGCCACCACCACCCCCTGTTCCACTGGAGCGTCCCGCTAGAGCCGTCCTCCTCTTCCGTCGCCTCCTGGGCCGGCCGCTGCCCTCAAATGTTGGGCCTGGAAGGCTCCCATTCTGAACAGCCTTCATCTTTTCACGGATCTCCCTGAATAGATTCTCTTTCCTTCGGGTGTGGGAAAAGGCCACGAGCAAGGCCCTCTCTTGGCCCCCCTGGGCTTCCCCTCCTAGGCCCAGCAATGGAGGGTACACTGCCTCATTTGTTGATTCACAAACAACAGCGACGCTAAAACATACAAAGTTGCTGCCTCGAGCTGTCCTGCGCTTTTTGCGACTGGCCTTCACGGTAGCGAGGATGTCAAACACATCCCATGTGGCTGAGATGGTGTCCAGAATGTCAATAGTCCGTGAGGTGAGCAGTAGAGGCCTGTCCAAGGAGCCAGGACGGGGGCAGCTGTAGAGGAGGAGGCGGTACAGGCTTCCTCCCTGGGACAATAATCTCCCAACGTCAGGCGGGGGCCTCCGCAGAACCCGCAGCTCCGCCTCCACCAGCTCCTCCATCCTAGAGAGGCCAGAGAGGTCAAAGATATAGCGCTGATGGGACCCGTCCGAAGGCTTCTCTGCAAGCAAAAAAGAAAACAATGACATATATATAAAAAAAATTATATACAGGTACGATTAACAAAAAAATTATTTTAAAATGTTTTATTAAATATTTTAAGTAATTTAGGAACAAGAAAAACTTAATGATAATAATATACTGTTATTATCTTTTAAAATATAGTAGATAATTTCTTGCCCCAAAGTTGGAAAAAATTAAATTTATTATAACTGAAAATACATTTATTATAACTGACTTTTTGAGGCTATATACCTTATACATTATACATTATACTTAGCTTTCTTTTATAGAGTTTTGGAATTGTTTTATAATATCTGTAAACAAATAGTTTTTTATCTTATTGAAAATATCGATTCCAAAATTTTTATGCATGGATCACTGGGAGGGATTTAAATAATGAACCAGCATTAATTTGATTTCAGCGGCTTACAAGAGCCAGCTGTCCGGGGGTAGAGAATCTTACATTCCTCACCCTGTTGTGAGCAGTCTACCGCATGGCCTTTTTTTCTGTTGAGAATGCCATACAGACACTGTCAGCTCCTCTCCTCGATGAGAATAACATTCGGGGGCCTGAAATGGTTTCTCCAAACGTGAGGCACGCAGCGGCGGCCCAGACCAGGTGGAGAGTGTTTGGCTGACCTGTCGGTCTGCCTCGGCCCTTGGCAGAATCTGCTAATTATGCTGATTGAGTGAGAATAGGGCTTGGCAAGACGCTCCAAAAGCACACGGCCTCCAGCAAGCCCCCTTTCCTCCCCTTCTGCTGCGCTCCACCAGAGTGAGGCTGTAAATTTAAGAGGAGTGGTAGGTGGCCTGGGGACACAATTAGATTTTAGCACTTCCAAATTGTTGAGTGCTTCAAACTGCTGTGGCCATGAGTATAATTGACTTGTGTTCCTCAAGCATCTAAGTGTTATGATCATTTTGCTAATGGACTAAAGTGACACTTGCTTGACCATCTTATGCTACAGCTGGGTGATAATCAGAATTTTAACAGATTTCACAGACATTTTGATGATCATATCAATGCTGTTTTTTGGAATTCAGCATTGTTTGTGAGTTACATGCAGTTACATTGATTACGCTTATTGGAATGCAAATGCCAAATGCTTCAACACGCAGCAACACAATCATCTAATACTGATGCATCTATTCTATCAACTCTCAGCACTTAATTGATTATTTAATGTTTTATAATCATTCCTTGCCTGTATGAATTTTGCAATAGTATTTAATAGTGTACCGTTCTTACTCTTAATTACAATGGGGAAAACCCCTCCACTCCCTTTTCCTCTATTTAACAGGTAGGTCCAGATTTTTAAATCAATGCTGAACAGAAGAGACTGTTAAACAGCAGTGACTCTGTGTGCCAAAGAAGGAGATTCGTCCCAAGCTCATATCACGCTGTGCCATCCGTGACTGAAGCAATGCAGGAGCGAGCTTTGCTAAAAGGGACCAGATCCAGCAGTCAGAGTAAAACAAGCTTCGATGTTGACATTTTGACATCCAGCTCAAGCATAGAAGCCGGAATACCGCGCAACCTGAGACGAAGTGTGCGGTTTCATGGTTAAAAGATGAAGGAGATTCTTCTAATATGAGGGGCTAGCACGAGAACCCAAGGCCAAATCTGGCTATATCGTGTCTGCTGTGTATCACGAGACAGAGCTAAGAATAATGGGTAAAAGCATCTGCTGTTGGGGTCGGCCACACAGGCCGGGACAGGAACGGGGTGTCCGATGGGAGCTGCCTCTCGGACTCTTCTTTCACGCCTGGACAAAGGGCTGCTGCTGAAATGAAGCGGTGAACAGGAGTGGGGTAATGCATCCTCTTCTAAAGCTAATATCCGCTTGCCAGACAAAACAATGACATAACCTAAAAAATGACCTGAAGAGGCAGTCTGGGAATTAGCTTTCATTCCAATCTCCCCCACACTTTGATGCAGGTCTGTGACTTGTGGGCAAATTTGTCTTCAAGTTTTTCTCAAAGAAAAAAGGCTTGTGGAGATGTGTCAAACTGATGAGGCATATAATAATACAATTGCTGAAAGATTTCCAATCATTTCTAAGAAAGAAAGTATCATAAAATTAGTATTAATTAGTACATTTCAAGCTTTTATTATGATACCAAACTGTCATTCCTTTGCATTGCTCTTTTTCACCGTTAATCACTTAAACAACAATTACTACATGCTGTGAACACAGCTGGTCGCTTCATATTGGAGAAGTTTGAGAGTATGGGTTCTGCAGTGCAGTGATTTGAGCTGTCCATCTCCATTCCCTCATTAAACAAAGGACTCAGTACCCCCTAACTTTATTTGCTTACACGCTAGAACTGGGCTGCATTTCGTAAAAACCAGCACTTTTCTGGAACGTGAGTTTGGAATCAGATGTTTCTCTTTTTATCAGCAGCACCTGGAGAGGGAAGCTTTCCAAGCATTTAGCCAAGATGCCAGGAGAGCTTTATTTATCACACATGGTGCAAATTCGACACATTTGACTTCATGTTCCTGATGTGTTATTTGAAGTAGGCCGTTTTAAAAGCATTCCCATCTGGAAATGAACATTTCAATGAAACAGGCAACTATTTTTTACTCATAAAAATGTCAGAAAGTCGGCAAAACATTATGATACTATCTCCAACAAAGACATATTTGCGCTATCCTAATAAAAATCTGGCTTATTTGCACAAAATGTTGATACCACATATAGACCTACTGCATTATTTGGATTATTCGGCAGTATCCCTTACTGCTAGACCTGTTTCCTGTCCATAACGTACATTCTTTAAAAAGATGGTTCTTCAAGCGTTCTTTAGTAAGGGCAGTGGTTCTGTTTAGAGCCACTTCTAGAGTTCCTATATAGAACGATTCTTAAATGGTACTTAACATGGTGAAACAGTTCTTCAGGTTAATAGAGGATGTGCGGTATATGAAAATTGTTCTATGTAGCACCAAAAGGGGTTCTGCTGTTGTTATGATGTCAAGCTTGTAACAACAAAAGAACCCTTTTTGTGCTATATAGAAGCATATACAACAAATTCTTTATCAATCTGAAGAACAGTTTCACCATGGAAAGAACCATTTCAGCATGCCAACAGTTCTACATAGAACTCATAGTTCTGTATAGAACCATTGCCTTTAATAAAAACCCTTGAAGAACCAAATGCAACTGGCACATTTGCACATTTCCAGCACAGCGCTGAATTGACTTTTCCAGTGTTCATTTGTGTCCAATTGGATGTGAATGCTAAAGATGCAACTGAATGACTGAATAAATACTGTATTCAATAAAATACAGTATTGATTAAATTAGTTTTGCATTTAGTTCGGATATTTTGTCAGCCTATATGTTTCCCCAAAGCGTTCAACACTGTAGGTGCTAATTTAATACTGTAAAAATGAATTCAGTCCCTAAGTAATTAATAGGGTTAATAGAGAAGAACTGCACCAGGCTAGTTTTTAAATGACTTTAAAATGAAGTTACTGGACCAAGCCACGTCCACAGACATAGAACTTGTCCCTCACATCCCACTGAGCCACCCTCAGCTCTATCACCCACCTTGCCGCTGCTCTATGAAGCTGGTCACTGTGTTGGCGTGTCTCCTGAAGCGGGCCAGGCTGCCGTTGGCCCCTCGTCGGTCCAGCTCGGATAAAGTCCTGTACAGGGCCATCATGTATGCTGGGATATGGACGGAGGTCCCGTTCCGCAGAGGCTGCTCCCGCGCGAGGCGCGCATCCAGCGCCGCAGCCTCACAAACGCTCGCGAAGCACAGGGCGAAGCAGAGGAAGAAGGGAGCGCCACTCTTCCTGCGATTCATTTTCACTGCTCTCTGGGAGAAAGATTGGGGAAAAGTTGGACGTGCCGTGATGACTTTGGAAACTCCCCCTTTTTTTGCTCTTTAGATAGTGTTAATATTTTGACTCACAGTCCGCCTGTTGCGCCTCAGCGCCAACAGCGCCCCTACAGGCCAAACAAGAGAACTGCAACTCCTCCTGACTGACACTCAACGGCTTGTATTGACAAACAGCTGTTTTTCTCCCAAACAGGTCATACACACAGGGGGTGAGCAGTGAGGTTAGCTTTACACCTTCAAGAGTTCTCTAGTAAAGGGTAAAGCATGGGTTCTAGATAGAACTATTCATGCTTAAATGGTTCTTTGCATAGTGAAATTGTTCTTCAGATTGAATATGTTGTACATGGTTCTTTATATAACCTTTTTGAAAATGGTTCCATATATCACAAAATGGGCTTCTGCTATTGTTATGATGTCAAGCATATTTTTAAAATGGTTCTGTATAGAACCACATAGCTACAACACACTAGGAAATCCAGCAGCAAAACCAGCATATGTTGTGTTTTGGTGCTGGTATGCTGGTCAACCATCATGACCATGCTGGGTTTGCCGGCTAAACCGGAACCAGACTAGCACTAGATTAGTTTAGACCATGAAATGCTTGTTGGTCCGTTCTGGTGGTTTTTTTTTCAGCAGGGCATTTTCCATCAATCTGAGGAACCATTTCTCCATACAGAGTCATTTAAGCATGAAATGGTTCTAAATAGAACCACTGCCTTTACTAAAGAACGCTTTAAGAACCAATATCTTCCTAAGTTTCTTTTTAATTGCGTTTTTGAGAAAGGTCCCCAGAAAAGGTCTGTCAGATTCATGACGGTCCTAAACCGCAGAACTGTTGACTCCTTTGTGATCTCGAGTGTGTGTAGATTCTGGTCTTACCTAAGAACGAATCCTAGACAAGAAAACACTGGTGAATATCAGAGTCTTCGAGAGAACTGCGTAAGAGGGTTTTAAGAAGACATTTCTTCTTAAGAACGGTTGTTGAATGAGGCCTCGTGTTTTTTTAAGTGTGTGGGTTTAAGTTCCTTCTATAAATAACCGTGAAGATGCTGGAGAATGTCACTGAGGAGTTTGTCACTTTTTTCTGTCGCCTCATTTTTCATTAGTCGAACGGGGAACAGACAGTTTCTATAAATGCTGGAGTTACGTTTTGTCGTCGCCGCTGGCGCCATAGGCCCTGGTTTACTGTTCACGAGTCGCCATCTACCGTCGAGAAGGGACATTACACCTTCCAGCCGTGAAGCTTAATGATGATTGAAGGCGACGTGTCGATACAGAGTGAGTTTCCCTGTCTGGTCTCACTGTACTGAAATGATAGATTATGGTGAAGATTTGGTAATGTGAGAATCCATTAAAAGAGGAAGCTCCACCGATTTTTTAAAATTAAACGGTTAAAGGGGAATTCCACTGATTTTTCAAAATTTCCACATAACTAAATTGTCAAGATGTGAACAAAATCGTTCAGAGTGTCAGAACTGTTCACAGTGGCTGTGGAAACAGGCATTCAAACTGTAAAATGCCTCTAAAACTACTTTGAGTTATGTAGAATATTGTTACATGAAATGGTTACAAATATGTTTTTTGATGCCTGAGACTTTTATTTATTATAATTTTAAATAGGTTTTGGCCTAAAATGTATTTTCTCCAAAGAAAACTTATTTTTTGCACACTATTTTCCTATAACATATAAGAACTCTGAAGATATAAATAGATACACTGGCTGTTTTGGACAGTAGATAAAATGACTATATTTGCATAACCCCTGGTTTCTGACACCACCTCTGTAAAGAAATCCTAGTCAGTTTTTCTGTAATCAAATTAAATTTCACATCAAAACAGCTCAACAGTTGAATTAGACCTATGTAGAATTTTGGTAAAAAGGGATGGAATTCCCCTTTAAGCTACATACAGAGACTGAGAGGCAGTGATCTGCTGCTGCCACTGTTCAGGAAACGTGAAACTTGTATGATTGTCTTTTAATCCAAAAAAATCATGAATTTGAGGGACAAACTACACACAACAACTCATATTAGTTATGTTGAATTTAATTGTCAGCAGATATCACAGTAAGCATTGTCACACAGTTTACAAGCTTTCAACTTTCAGTTATACAGTGTTGGAAAGGTAGGACAAGAATCCAGTTACATCAAGCCGATCCAGACCAAAAAGTGAGGCATCCCTGCATTCCCAAAGCCCAGTATTCCCCCATTGAAATTTTCTTGGAAACCAGTGTTCCCATGTTTCAGTGCAATGCATACTCAATCATCTTCCTTTAACATGACAATAAGAGCAACATCAATACATCTGATGTACTGATGTACTGTCAATGTAACATGCTTGTTACTTGTTAGCTACCAAACTATGCCTCGATGATAAGGCGATGTAATTGGATATTAACAATGGCTATAAAGTAACCCCATGATTATGCTTCAGAGGCAATAATTGCAGTGTTGAGAAAGAGACCTAATATGTAAAGGTAATGTTTACTAAAAAAATACGTACAGGTAATGTTTACTAAAAAATATGTACAGGTAATGTTTACTAAAAAATATGTACAGGTAATGTTTACTAAAAAATATGAACAGGTAACGATTTACTCTATTTTACAATGGATTATTAAGGGGCACTCGTAAGCCGATTAATCTAATGGTAGATTAAATTTTCAACTGTCTCTGCTGCAGATTTCCCAGAGTGCGACATATTGACTGAGGAAAATTCTCAGCATAGATGTGCAGATGTTATAAAAATATAATATTTAATGGTTTCCTACAGGCATCTAGTATTTATTTGAGGATGAAATTTGAAGTTTTTTTCTTTGAATCATTGTACTTCAGATAAAGGTTAGATTTTTTTTGCTAATATTTTGTTTAAAAGATGAGAAGTATAAGCAATAAAGGATGTCTTTTTACCAGGAGTGACAATATTTGTGGAGGGCACTGTAGCTGCAACATCAACTTGGTGTAATTACAAAATGTCATCATATGATTATGATCTGAAGCAGCTCAAAAAAGTGGGTAAGCTATTTTTAGGATGGTTTAATTCAGTGGTCTCCAACTCTGGTCCTGGAGAGCCACTTTCCTGCAGAGTTTAGTTCCAACCTAAGCTGCCCCACATCTCACTTAACTCTAATACATCTGATCTGGCCAATCAGGGACTTGGGAAGAGATTGATTAGCTGGAACAGGTGTGGCAGATTGTGATAGGACTCTGCAGGAAGGTAGCTGTCCAGGACCAGAGCTGAAGACCACTGTCTATCAATGGCTTTGTCAGTGGATCTTGCGCTGCATTGGATAAAAATAAGAGGGGTCATAGAGTTAGCTCCATTGATTCCAGTGACAGGAAACACAGAAAACCAGGAGTGGTTGTCATCACTTGTCTTGCATACATGTAAAGATTTTTCACGACATAATCCTTATGCCTTTCTTTTCGTAATGGTTCCGGATGTACTCTGCAATCGCGTTCTCATCATTCATTTCTTTTTTCCAAAGCAAAATGTAACATTTTGGAGCAAAATGACAACCCAGGATGCCATAACCAGAAACCAAAATGGCCGAGGCTTCGATGGCTCTCTCATGCTTCCCATGTTCTTGTATGTATATGGGAATAAAAAGGATCCACACCACCAAATAGATGAGCATGCTAATCGTGATAAACCTGGCATTCTTATACAAATCTGGCAGTTTCCTTCCTTTGTACGCAAAGAAGAAACACATGATACAAAGGAGTGCAATGTACGCCTGTGTGGCCACAAACAATTCGGAGGATCCCTCATTACATCCAAGTATGACACGGCCTTCATTATTCTTACCAGTTCTGGAAGGTGGCCACAGTACTAGCCAAAACGCACACATGACTACCTGCACACTAACACAGGCCATCACCACTACAACAGGCTGATTGACACGCTTTAGCCAGACACCAAGCTTGAGCTTAAAGCTGAAGCCCACAGAGATCTGCAGCAGGTTGGCTAGGATGCAGGAGGCACATATGGTGAAGGACAAGCTGAAGATGGGCAGTCCTGCCCTGCAATTGACATCTGTAGGCTCCCCCAGGAAAAAGAAAGGGCTGATGAAGCAAGCCAGAACAGAAAAGAGTGCGGGGAAACAGAGCGAACCACCAGCAGCCCTCACGATAGGGGTGTGACTGTACATGACAAATAAAACAGTGACAATTAACGTGACAATCAAGCCTATAGTGGAGAATACAGCCAGAGTAATACTGAAGCCGTCTGTCCATTGCAGGAAGTCTGTCATGCACTGTGAATTATTTTGCGAGTCTTGACATGGTTGACAACTTATGCCTGTGGATTTTAGAAGTTAAGTTAGTTTCAGAGAAATAAAGTTAACATAAAGACTAGGTGCAGACTAGTGCATCGTTCCTGTTGTGCATGATTCTTGACATAAAATTCAGATTAATGCTATGGCAGGTTTAGTGACTTGTGGTAGCCAGGCACTATGTTAAACTTGAATCATTGACTCACCGTCATCAGAGAAAAAATTGGGTTCACAATGTTTACAACCCTTGCAGCATGGCTCATCTGGATTCAATGTATAAAGTTCATATCCTGGCTCACAAGATTTAGAGCAGTTGAATCGAGTTACCTAACAAAACATCACAGAGGGACACACATACACTTTAATTATAATTCATGGTAATTCACAACGTTCTTATCAAACAGCTGTCAATTAGTGTTTGAAGCATAATGTGGCAAATAAATCCATAAAAGCTCACGCTGTTATTCTCCGGGACCACATTAACAGAGATGTTGCTTTGCCCATACATCCCAATGGTGGTAAAATTCTTTGGTGTTTCAGTTTTCCATTCTAAAATGTCATATCCAATATTTACTTCTCCTTTTTCATTCAGAGTCATGTTTGCAATATTATCCATGTAGTAACTGGCGTGCTTGATGCTTTCTGTGAGCTGAAAAGGCAGACAGTATAGTTGTGTTTTAACTAATGGTTGTGGGAATTGAAGTAACACATTCTAGTCAAGCTGCAAGAAAAAAATATTAATAACAATAAC